AGGGAGGCCCAGCCCAGGTGCTGCTTGAGAGCTGCATCCGGAATGCCTCCAGGTTCTTACACTCCCAGGTGCAAGGGTGACCTTGGAAATGCCCCCATTTTGGCCAGCGACTCTCTCTAAGCCCACCCACGTGGTGGGGACACTGAGGCTTCCCGAGGCTGATCCCTCCCCTGCAGGCTGGGCAGCGACTGGTGTCTGTGTCCACAGCCTGTGGCGCTGTGGCCCTCTGCAGCAGACGCCTGCCGCCCCAGCTTTGCTGGGGAATGTGCTGAAGCAGTTCTAGACGGAAGATGGTGGGACCAGAGGTCAGAAGCCCCAGACTCGAGCCCTGAACCCCAGTTCAGCCTAGAGCTGGCCCCGAGGCTTCCGAGGCCACCATTTTCCACTCCAGACAGAGTCCACTACCACTGACTGAATGAAGAAAGACTGAGGGGCTGGAGAGATGGCTCAGCGGTTAAGAGCACTGTCTGCTCTTCCAAAGGTCTTGAGTTCAATTCCCAGCAACCACATGGTGGCTCACAACCATCTATAAGGTGAACTGATTCCCTCTTCTGGCAGGTGTAAATGCAGATAGAACACTCATATACATAAGATAAATAAATCTTAAAAAAAGAAAAAGACTGAGCGAGGGTTAGCACAAGCGGGCAGTCAGGGTGGGAGCTCTGTCTCCTGCCCACCGAGCCAGTGTGAGTTTGGGCTAGGTGAGTGAAGATTCTCGCTAGGCAGCTTCCCACGTGGCCTCTCTTAAGAGCGATCCAGAGCCCTTCCATCACAGAATGCTAGGTTTTTAGAGACATCCCAAGGTTGCTGCCAGGTTCTGTTCTTCGCCACAATTCCTAGGAGACAAGGAGAAAACGAGGGTAAGAAACCCGGGAACGGAGAATGAAAGGGCTCGTCCAAGGTCAGACCCTGAGAGGGCCGCGATGCACGCGGCTGCTCTAGCTCGCGTGTGCGAACAAGCGGGGGGTTCCGGGAGGCGCGCGGGTCCGGAGTGGGCGCGCAGGTGGCGGGGCCGGAGCGGGCGGCGGCGCGGGCGCCAAGAACAAAAGGGCGCCCCGCTCCCGCCCCGCCCGCCTTCCCTCGGCCAATCGGCGCGGTCCGAGCAGCAGCGGCCTCTGATTGGCTGCGCCCCGACCAATCGCGCGCCAAGGCCGACGGGCCCTGCGGCCCCACGTGGGGTCCCTTCTTGCTAGAGGGGCGGGGCGCGGAGCCGGGCCGGGCTGTGTGCGCCTCGGGGGACCTGACGGCGACCCGTGCCGCCCTGGGGAGCCCCTGCGGTCGCCAGTGGACCTTGTAGCCTTCGGTCCCACGGGGGCGTCGTCATGCTCCTTCAGCGCCTTGGGAGCAGAGCCTCCCGGCTGGGAGGTAGCAGGGCAGACGTGGGGCTGTTCCCCTGTTCCCCTGGGAGGTCACAGGGGAGGCCGAAGCTGCTGGGGGGAGGGAAGGAAGACGCGGTCCTGCTGGTTAGTGGCACAGACATCAATTCATTCTTGGAAGGAGTCCGGCTTTGACACCTCCTCTCATGCCCTGGGGACACAAAGAGAGGTGGCCTCTGTGCAGGCTTGGGGGCTAGCCTCCTCCTGGCCGCTTCCATTAGCCTCCCCTCCAAACTACTCCAAGTGGAACACACAAGAATGTTTTTGGATACGGGCAATTGACACGGTCTTACATTTTTATGGCACCCCCAGACGGGACATTTGAAGAGAGTTGAATAAATGGAAAATACATGAATTAAAGGGGAGATGTGTAGTTCCTTGGCCGGCGACGAAGGGGAGCTGCTACCCCGTTCTCCAGACCTGGAGGGCAGCTGCAGTGGAGGAGCCTCCACTCGGGAGGCGTGGCCTTGGAAGGGGGCTCTGCGGGCGCTGGGTCCTTTCCTCAGCCTTGCTAGTGCTTCCTGCCGCGGAATCCAGGCCCAGGCTGGAGCACAGGGCCACACTGCCCTCAGCTTCTGCTGCGGACAGAGGGGGGGGGGGGGGGGATGGCGGTGGGGGGTGTCTGTCAGGGTGGTGGGCCCAGCAGCAGGAGGGTCCTGCACCCACTCTCAAGCGTGAGTAGAAGTGTGTCAGGGAACCTGGGTTTTGTTTTGTTTGCAGTAGGCAGTTGCAGCGCGGGCGGGCCCTCTGCGTCCACCCAAGCATCCTTGGGCTGATGTTTTCCCTCCAGAAGACATCCTATATGTCACAAAGTGAGGCAGCAGCTGGAAGCCGCTGTTTAGGTATGCCCGCTGCCTTCCGAGGTGCGCCTGTCTGTCAGGGCTTTTACGTCTCTGCAGTGGTCTCAGGGCAATGGTGGAGACATCAGCTCTGTCTCGGGGGCTTGCATCCTGTTTACTGGTGTCCCTTCAAGGGCCTGCTTTGCCAGTCAGCACACAATGGAGTTTGCTTGGATGACTCTGAGGCAGGAAGCATCTATTCATTCATCAGGCCTTTTAGGAGAGGTCTTCCGGTACCAGAATGGGCTCAGCCCTGAGTGTCTGAGGAAAAAAAGGCACAGTCCAGGCTTGGGAAAGTTTATGGCTCCCTGTGTGGCCATGCTCCAGTCCAGATGAAGTGCCGGAGCCGCAGGGGGCTAGAAGGCTCTCACAGAGCGGGGCACAGGACAGGTGTGGGGCTGGAGGTGGCTTTGAAAGGCAGTTAGGATGTGGATGGGAGATGGTGGAGCAAGGATACCAGGTGTTCCAAAGATGTGGCATCTGGCAGATGTGGCTGTGGGCAGTGGGCCTCTGACACTCGGAAGTCAGGGACACCGCCAACACCCCCACGTCACATGGTGACAATGACAGGATTATTGGGTAGCTACTGTGTGCGGTCCAGTGTCTTGCAATTGGCAATTACAGGCTCGATGCACGCACATAAGCTGTCGGTGCGGGCGCTGGCTGCAGTCAAGGAGAAGGGCTTTGTGGCCTATGAGCCGAGTTGCCTGTTGTGGGGACCGTGGACGATTTCAAGCCAGGATAGCGCTCTTGCTCTTCTGTCGTGTGCAGCTGCTGGCCTGAAGTTCACAGGTCTGCCCAGAGTCCTCGGCTTGTCGCCTGCCCTAAGCAGCACCAGCAACGCACAGGACCACTCTGCTTGCCAACCTCAGTTCTGCTGTTAAAAACTGCTGTTTGTGGGCCTGGAAACAGTGGTGTTGGATCTGGATCCAGATGCTCTGAACCCTCAAGCAGCCAGAGAATGACACTTTGGCAGTGGCTTGGGAATCTTCTGATAGGAGCAGCTCTGGCCGTGGTGCTGGGGTACCAGTGGCCGGGACAGGTGGAGCAGCCTCCACAAACCAGGAAGCGCACACATCATCTCCTGAAGATGGGGAAGCCTGGGGGGTGGGGTTAGAGCCTGAGTCTCCAGAAGCCAAATGCTCTGAACAGGGAAGCAGAAAACACAGAGGCTGCCTGCTCTGTTGGTTATAGTGACAAGGCAGTTTCTGCAGACACACATGGCAATGTGACATCACACAGTTCCATGGTATGTATGTGTATGTATGTATACATGTATTTTGTGGTGCCCCAGGGCCTTGTATGTCCTAGGAGATTGCTCTACTGCTGAGCCACCCTGCAGCTCTGTCTCCTTTTTTTATCTTAAAAATTCAGAGTAAGCGCAGTGCTCCTAAGTGTATGAGGCAGAACTCGGGCCCTGCAGCGGCCCCTGGTGCCCAGCCCGCGCCACCCTGAGTGCGGAGCGCTTTTCCTCCTCCTTACTGCCTGGCCTTGCCTGGCCAGGAGTGTTTGTGTGGTTGTGGCTCTGCAGTGCTGGGCTTCTGGCCTCCACGTGGTGAGGCCGCAGTTTGATTGCCGGCTTCCGTGCACATCCACTGTCATTCAGGGCAACAGCTCCCCGGAGGAGGTTCTAGTGGCCCCATATCCTTTCAGGCATTTTGTATTTCCATACCTTCCTGTCAGTCATGAAGGGACTAGATGCCACTCCTTAGTCTTCCCGAAGCTTCAAAGGAGTCTCTTGGCCCTCCCTTTCTTCATGTCTGAAACCAGAGTTGAGGAGACCAGACTGGCTGGGTCTGGGGCTGCTGCAGGACGGCTTTGGTATCAGCAAGAAGGGGGCTGAGAGGAGGGCAGGGATGGGGATCGGGTGGGCAGAGCCCTGGCTCAGAAGCAGGTGGAGCCTGGGCGCGGAGGACCAAGTAGGGATGCCTGCTTGTGCCCAGACCCCTGAGTGCCGAGGACACTGCGGTGAACACCAGGCAGGAGCCCTATCATGCTGATGACAGTCCAGGGAAGGCGGCAGTCAAATAAACCCACAATAAATACAAAATTGCAGACTGTGATGAGCGCTCCATGCTGTTAGAAGGCCTGACCTGGCAGTGACATCAAACTGTAGGAGACTGTGGCCTCGGAGACTAGAGAGCTGCAGGAACTCTTAAGGGTATCCTAACAGGATGGGCTGGGGGACCTTGTTTTGGAGAAGTGCGGAGTGGAAGTCATGGATGAGAAAAGAGAGTCTAGTAATTGGAAAGTCATGAGATGGCATGTATGTGTGTCCACCATCAGAAACCCAGGTTCCCGTCTTATCATTCTATTTCCAAATGTGGCTTCCTTCTCATAATAAAGAAGATAGCTAATGCTCCAATTATTTCATCTATGTTCCAACTGGTAGGATGAGAGAAAAGGCACAGCTCTGTGTTTAAGGATGCTTCCTATTACCTGTTCACTACCTTGGCCAAAACTCAGTTTCACAGCTGTATGTAGCTGCAAGGGAGGCTGAGGGGTGTAGGGTCAGCTCTGAAGGAAAGGGCAGTAGTGGTGTTGGGCAGCTCCTGGCAGAAAGCTCATGCTGAAAACAGGAGACGGCCAGCAGTCATTGACTCTATAGCCACATGAAGGACTCAGCTGTGTCTTCGTTGAGGCCAAGGCCAGCTTTACTGCATGTTCACAGACGAGGGAACTAGCTCCCAGGGAGCTGATTAGCCTGCCCAATCCAGTTGGGGACACCTAAGGAGAGACAGGCTAAGAAAGCTCCAGAACTCTTTGTCTGTCTGTCTGTCTGATTATAAATATCAAAAGCTTCCTGAATTTGCTTGTCACCCTTTTTTACAGGAGCCATGCTAATCTTCTCTGTATCATTCCAACATTAGTTTATATGACAAGGCTTTCTCTTTCTCACACTCTCCTTCTCTTTGGGTTTCTTGAGAAGTAGTCACTACGCCCTTTCTTGTTGTTTGTTTTGAGGCAAGGCTCCACTATGTAGCCTTGGCTGGCCTGGAACTCACTATGTAGCCCAGGCTGGCCTGGAACTCAGAGAGATCCACCTGCCTCTGCCTCCTGAGTGCTGGGGTTAAAGGTCTGTGCCATCATGCTTGTCATCTTTGTCGTTTGTTTGCTTTCAAGAGAGAGTTTACTGCGCAGCCCTAGCTGTCCTGTAGCTCATCCTTTAGATCAGCCTGACTTCAGACTCATAGATATCCACCTGCCTCTGCCTCCCAAGCGCTGGGATTAAAGGCGTGCTCCACCACTGCTAGCTGAAGTAGAAATTTTGACTGCTGTTTTTCCGTAGCACTGGGGATTGAACCCAGAGCCTTGGATGTGGTAGGCAAGCATTCTGCCACCGCAGTCCTACGGACTGTCATCTTTTTAAGTGAGCGGCTAAGCAGCCGCACACTGGCATTTTTAATTTTTTTTTCTTTTACTTTCCCCTTCCCCCTCCTTTCCCCCCTTTTTCTCTTTCCTGTCCCCTCCCTCCCCCTCCTTCTTTTTTGAGACAGGGTCTGACAGTAGCCTTGACTTGGAACTTGCTTTGTAAATCAGGCTGTTATAACTTATGGAGATCTATCTAGCTGCCTCTGCTTCTCAGGTGCTGGGGTTAAAGGTGAGCACCACCATCCCTGGACTGAGCCAGCCTTTGCCACAGTTATGATGGTTGCTACTCCCAGCCACTGGCCCAAGGGGAGGAGCGGTCCATTCTCCTCTGGTACTGGGATCTCACAGGGAGAGACCCAGGCCTTTCTGAGGGGTTGGGAATAAAAGCAGGATGCTCTGTTTAATTTTTAAAATTTATTTGCCTTTATTTTTTGTGCATTGGTGCTTTGTGTCTATGTGAGAGTGTCAGATCTTGCAGTTCTAGACAGTTGTGAGCTGTCATGTGGGTGCTGGGATTTGAACCTGGGCACTCTGGAAGTAGTCAGTGCCCTGAACCACTAAGCTGTCTCTCCAGCCCTGCCTGCTCCATTTAATTTGAAGCTGATTCAGGATATGAAAGAAAATGCGTGTGGCTCCAGCCCAAAGACCACAAGTCAAGGTGCCCTCCTTTCTTGAGGTGCCTCCATTCTGAGTTTTCTGTTCTTTCTAGTCAGAGCTGCAGATGGGGGTGGGGAGAAGGCATGTCCTGGTTGGTCAGGCCAGTCCTTATCCCCCAATCAGCTTTTGTAGCCCAGTCAGAGCTGCAGCGGTCCCTCATTATCACAGAGGACTGTGCTGAGGTTCCCTGTCCACATGGAGGTCAGTTAGCCAGCCACACCCTTCTCCCATCTCCCCGGGGGCCGAGCCACCCAGGGTCACATTGTAGGCCCCATGCCACAGGTGGCAAGGCTCTGATACAAGACAGCAGGCTAGGCCCTGGACACTGGTGTGACCAGAAAAACCTCAACTCCCCCTCTGCTCCTGCCTCTGGCCTGCCCAGGCCAGCAGGGCGCTGGGTACCTGGTCAGAGTGAAGAGGGGATGTTCACAGCTCAGCTCCCTGTGGCACTGTTCTCAGCTGAATGCTGTGGCTGTGGGGCCAAATGGGTGGGACAGAGAGACCAGTCTATGCGGCCCAGAGCAGCGTCCATGAGGGCAAAACCAAGCTATCGTCTGCACCACGAGGGACAGGCTCACAGAAGCCAGGCATGGGTGGGCTGTTGGGCGCCACAGCTGGAATGGGAACTGTCAAGATTTTGCTTTGCTTTTTTTTTTTTTTTTTTTTCTTTTTGAGACAGGGTCTCTTGTAGACCAAAGTAGCCTCAAACTCTCTGAGCAGCCGAGTGTGAGTCTTGAACTCTGACCCTGGTCCTGGGATTACAGGCATGGACCATGACACTGTGTTTTTGTCATTTGCCAGTGGGAATCCCGGCCAGCTGTGGACAGTAGAGTGGGGTCCTCTCTGTCCACAGGCCCCTCGAGCAAGCCTCGGGCTGTCTGCAGAGGTTGTGTGCCCTCTTGGCTGTCTGGTGTGTATGTGGTGAGCATGGCTAGGCACAGGCCAATTTGTCTCCCGCCCTCCGTGCCACTTTCTGTAGCCTTAGACACTGACACAATTGCTCCATGCTTTTGCTTGCTTGCTTTTAAAAAATTATTTATTTTTATTTTCTGTCCATTGGTGTTCTGCCTGCATGTATGTCTGTGTGAGGGTGTCAGATCACCTGGAACTGGAAGTACAAACAGTTCTGAGCTGCCATGTGGGTGCTGGGAATTGAACCCCAGTTCTTTGGAAGAACAGCCACTGCTCTTAACCACTGAGCCATCTCTCCAGCCTGCTTGCTTGTTTTTTAAGACAGGGTTTCTCTGTGTAGCCCTGGCTGTCCTGGAACTCACTCTGTAGACCAGGCTGGCCTTAAACTCACAGAGATTCACCTGTCTCTGCTCCCCGAGTTTCCCGAGTGGGGTTAAAGGCATGCACCTGGCTTGCTCCATGCTTTTTATCAACACTTGGAGTGTTTCTCTCTCTCCTCTCTCTCTGCAGGGAAGTACTCTATGGCTCTGTTGTCTACTTCAGGCTGGGCTGGCACCCTACAAGGAGCGGTTCGCAAAGCTGGGCTGCGGCCCTTTCGGCCAGCAGGTTCCCAGGAACTGTGAACTTGAGGTGAGGGACCTCATGCACCACCTCTTTGGTGGGCATCCTTTCTGCGTCACGCAGCACAGCCGCATCTGTTCTGTCAGGAGGCCGGGCATACCCAGTTTGAATTGCTAGAGTCACAGTTGCTAGACTTAGCCAATAAAATATAAAATGTTAGGTTAAATTCAAACTTCAGATAGTCATTTTTAGTATAAGTATATTCCCAATATTTCATGCAACACTTATGTTAATATTTGCTCCTTCTCTGATTTCAAATTAAATTCAAGCTGGCCGTGGTGTTACACGCCTGTAATCCCAGCACTCAGGGAGGCTGGGGCAGGCGGATCTCTGTGAGTTCGAGGCCAGCCTGGTCTAAAAAGAGACTCTAGGACATCCAAGGCTACACAAAGAAATTCTGTCTCGAAACACACACACACACAAACCCAAAGTGCAGAAATATAGCAGAGTCTACTCACTGTCAGCATCCAAGTGTCCTGAGGGCAACTACAGAGTTTATGGTATCCCTTGGGACCCTTCCAAGAAGCGCTTATATGTCCCGTGTTCTCCAGGAGAATGCCCTGATTGGCTAATACTGGGTCAGGTGCCGACCCCGGAGCCAATCACCAAGGCTGGGGGAGGCCCGCCCTGAGTCACGTGACAATGGAGGCACCCGCAGTCTGTGGAACCAAATGAGCAGAGGGAAGCCCTTCCAGGAGTGGAGACACTGGGCACTGAGGCTATGGTCTTTTGATGGCGTCCAGGTACTCGTTTCTTGCATCCTATGTGCTAGAAACTTGACAGACCCCGCAGAGGGCCCCTACGGCCTCAAACAGTGTACCGCTTTAACCCTAGGCCGCCAAGCGCCCTGCCCTCTTCCAGTCAGGGTCTCTTCCACACTCACCTCCAGCCCTCTGCATTGCAGGCACCTCCAAATGGGAGACGTTTCAGGGGTTTGGGGTGCCCTGGGCCTACGTGGTCCACGTAGGTTCAGAGAGGAGGACCTGGGGGAATGAAATTACCCCGCAGTATGTCTCCTCACGCCCGCTCACCGCAGCCCTGAGCCTGTTCTAAGTGGAAACACATTTCCTGACGAGCGGCGAGATCATAAACTTCTTTGGAGGCTCCCAAATAAAAATGGCTGTTTTAACTTTCCCTCCTCAGGAAAGCCAATTGTGAGGAGGCCTCTAGACCCTCCCACAGCTGGGAGGCCTCAGGTGGGCTCCAGATTAGCCTAGGGAGGACAGAGAGATGAAGCAAGGTGTGTTAGGTATAGGTCGGCGTCACAGCCCACACGTGGAGGAGCCGTGTCCTTGGAGGCCCTCCTGACGGCCATCAGCACAGGCCTTTTCTGGCGTGGGTGGCTAGTCCTGAGATCCTGGACCAGGCTGGAGGTGCAAGCCACGTCTGGCCGCCCCCAGGGGCTGAGGGAGACAGGACTGAGCAAAAGGTGGTGGTCTGGCAGGCCTGGCTCTTGATCTCTCATTTTTGCATTCTGAAGATGTGGAAACACGCTGCAGACTACAGCTGGGACAAGATAGGCGGCCAGAGACTCAGCAGAGCAGAGAGGACCATGGTGCCCACAGAGCCGTGCTCCGCATTCTGCGCCTGCGCCCTGCTCTGGACGGCAGCTGCTTTCTGTGCTGCTGGGCTTTCCAGCTCCTCCAGCTTCGGGGAGGCCCTCCCCCAGGCCCTCAGGACTCCAGAGGGTTGTATGGAGGTCAAGCGTGTCTAGACTGCAGAAATCACAGAGAACTCTCCTTTAACATTGCCCCAAAGATGGCGTGATAGGGTGGAGGCGGGAATTCCTCCATCTGCACGGGCTGGGTGCTCTCGGGATTCCTTTGGGTGGGGATGGGGGCCAGAGGCTCTGCAGAGCGGGTGAAGTCTGCAGAGAGCGCCATTCGGAGCGGCTTCAGGGCAGAGCCCCTCCCCCACAGCTCTGTCTATCTCAGGATGGCTTTCAGCGCCTGCATTCACCTCTCTCCTAGGGAGGGCGTGTGTAGGGTCCTCAGAGGTGTCTGCTGGGCCACCGCACCCCTCCATTTCTTGAGAGGTGTGGTCCTCAGCTAAGTCTGGGGGATATGCTTCCTGAGATTAGGCTTCTGGGACAAAGGGGGTACCCAGCGTGAGCGACCCAGCTGGGACCCTCCGCACTCCTGGGCACCTCTCCCTGTTCAGTCAGCAGCCCTCCTGCTCTGCATGCCTCTGCATCTCTTTGCCTCAGCCTGCCCAGCTGTGGGGCCCTCCATGCTCCTGCCAAGTTTTTCTGTGGGGTCCCCCACAAGTGTGGAGAGAGAGGCCCGTCTCATTTAGCGCAGCTGTCTGCACAGGGGATGAGTGAATGCAGGGCCCCGCATGCCCCACAGAGGGGTGCTCCAGAGGGGCCCAACCAGTACAAGGCCACACCCCAAGAGAACCCACTGCCACCTGGGCCCCCCTCTCCGACAGCAGGTGGAAACCCACTTTCCCTGTGTCCAGTTGTCCAACCGAGGCCTTGTTATGTCCTCATGGAGGTGCTGAGTCTTTACCATGGGGACCCTGGTAGGGTCTGGGCTAGCCCTGCCCATGTGCTGGTTCCCACAACCCTCACCCCAGCAGGCTGGGGACACCACTGAGAAAAGCTTAGGTGACATCAGACAACAGACACTGCAGGCCCTGCCCACCTCTCCCCAGAGCAGGCTGGAGGGCTGGGTCATGGCCGCATGGTCCAGTCACCTACAGTCTGATGGTAAGGAGACAGGGGGGCTGGGTGTATCCGGGAGGGCTCATCACTGCTTTGTGCCTTTTGAGGGGGTGGCCTGTGGAGATGCAAAGAGTGTGTGGAGCCCCGGAGTGACGCAGAAAGCACAAGGCTGGGTCTCTGCTGCAGACGGGCTCCGTGGGGGATCATCCCCGAAGGCCTGGCACAGGCTTGGCTGCAGGATGGCAGTGGTCAAGGCAGGGAGCCACACTGGCGAGCCAAAGCAGCCCCTCCTCACCCATGCCTGCCCCTGGACGCTCAGGCAGGGGCGTGGCCCCGGGGTCTTTGAGCACCTCTCAAAGTTGAGTTCTGCTGAGGGCCCTCCAGGCCTGGCCTAAGTCATTTCAATGCCCCCCGCCCCCAGCAACCTTGCTAGGGCTGGGGCCCAGCAATTAAAGCCCCCTCGTCTCCAATCGGTTTGTAGTATTAAAAACGAATTGCGATCAGCCGGGTTGTCATTTCTACCTGATAAAACATCACTTTTATTGATCTCACTCACCCAGTGCCATCATTTATCTTGCTTCAGCATTTCACATAATGGCTCGTTTGTCTTGATCAAAGTGTAGTCTTGCATGTTTAACCCCTGGGGCTCCACTGCCTGTGTCCTCTCCATGTCCGCCCTGCCCTTGGACTGGGCCCTGCTCCAAAGGGCAGTACGTTCTGGAAGGCCAGAACCATGGCGTCTGAGGCATGATTGTAGGAGGGAGGTGTGGAGATAAGCGGCCAGATGGGGATGTATTCCCCAGAGACTGTCCTGCCCGTGTCCCTGGGAGCTCCATGGAGAGGTACCAACATTGGGGTGACTCAGGTACGGGGTGTTCAGTATTGGCCTGCCTGTCCCTGCTTGCTCCACTTGTCAAGTACCTAGGCACCCCTAGTCCTGTCTGTGCTGTTCCACACAGGACCTTCATCACGATGCGGTCTCTCCTGCGGTCTGGGCCAGGCTGGCCCCTTTAACCAAGGCCACCAAGGGAGCCATCAGGTCACTGCACGCCCCCTCCTGCCAAGGGCCTGGTCCTTCAGCCTCTGCCAGCCTCCAGGCCCAGTCCCCTCCCCCACCTTTTAGCCACCCTCTTCCCTCTACTTGCCCTGTCTTACCTGGGCCTCCCTTCTCCAGGAAGCTGCCTAGATCAACTCAGGGACAATCAGAGCCACTCAGGCACCCCCATTAATTAGAGTGCTCTGTGCAAGTCACAGCACCGTTCTGGGCCAGAGCTGGCGTGGGCCACTTGTGCTGTGAGGGCGCCATCTTGGCCACCTGGTCCCGGAGCAGTTGCCGGGCAGCTGTTTCCAGCCGCTCCTGCCTGCCCGTCTGGGGTTTTGGAGCCACAGTGTCTTGGAGCTGGCTGCTCAGCTGTTCCCTGCCAGGCTTACCACTCAGCTCCTCTGGCTACAGTGGGATTGGCTGGATCAAGGAGAAGCCCAATGCTTGCTGGCAGGGGTTCTTGCCAGGCTTCAGACTCCCACCAGGCTCTGGCCCCACCTAACTTCTTCCATCAGAGCCTCCTTGTATGACCTCCTGAGCAAAGCAACCTTTTTGTGTACTTGTGTGTGTGTGCCTGTGTGTCTGGGCTAAAACTTAGGACCTTGCACATGCACTGAGCTACCTTCCCAGCAAAGCAGGCTCAAGCGGGCAGAGGACACTCAGCATGTCTGTCTCAGGGGTTCCAGAAGCCATGCAGAGGCCCAGCCTCCCTCGGGGCCCGCTGTTTCCAGTCTAGAGTTTGCCAGGCAAAGAACTCAGGTTCGTGAATTTGGGTGTCTCAAGTCCTCAGAAGGTCTCTGAGCATCTCAGGGCAGGGCACCGGCACCAGACTCCAACCTTCACTTTGTTTTAGGCCCCAGGTGGGCACTAGGCATCGCCCACTGGGCAGCTAGGAATGGCAGAACACCCTTTTCAAAGGTCATGATCCCAGATAACCCCAGGACTGAGTGTGCAGGCCCCACACAGCTGACTGACTCATCTGCCAGCGCCCTGCACACCTGACCTAACGGCCCTTGCCTATCAGCTCTTGGTAGGACTGGAATGGGCTGAAGGAAGAATCTGGTGGCAGTCCTTGTAGCAGGTACCTACCTGCTGGACCCCACAGGCACATTAGCCTGCTTCCACGAGAGAGGAACTCCCTCAGCACAGTAGTTCTGTGGTGGGCAGGAGGATGACACTGGAGAGGAAGACTTAGCAGTCGGCAGGGCTAGGGCATTTGCATAGCCAGACTCCTTACATATGGAGCGGAGGTAAGGAGCCAGGCCTGCCCCAGAGCCAGCCCTCCCAGTACATGCCTGCCCCACTGGGGGTCCCGCCTCAGGGGTCAGCAGTCTCTTGACTGCAGCCTTCTGATCAGGCGACAGATACAAGGCTCTCTCTCCCGCTCCCTCTTTAGTCCTGAAGCTTGACGGACTTCTAATCAGTCCTCTGCTTAACAAGAACATCTTACCCCCATGCCAAGAGAAAGGGCCTCACTGTGATCCTGGCTGGCCGGGAGCTCGCTATGAGGACCAAGCTGGTTTCAAACTCACAGAGGCTCACCTGCCTCTGCCCCTGAGCGCTGAGGTTGAAATGTGCTCCAGTGTGTCCATCAGGACCATGACTGTTACTTATTGTTCTTGGCACAGCTGTCTGGCAGAGATGCTTCTGTTGAACAAATCCATTGGGACCCTGCTGAGGCAGAGTTCCCTTGTGGAGCAGCGCTTGGAGCTGCCCTTCCTTCTAGCCCTGTGCTTTGTGGCCTCCACCATGGCTGTATAAACCAGTTCAGGCTAGACAGGTGACCAAGCCATCAGTCATTCATTCCTGACTAAGAAGACGGGATCAAGAAGGGCCCATGACTGGGGCAGGGACTCGAAGCCTAAGGCCACCCAAACCCATCTGGTCACTCAGTCTCCTCTCAGCCCAGACAGGAATGACCACGTGACACACACGTCAGAGACAGGTACAGTCACAATCGGGACTACTGCGAACCTGTACAATAGTTCATATATTTATTCTTAAGCAAGTTATCAATAAAAAATTTAATACTAAAATGCCTTTACATAGAGTTTGCTGTTCATAAAACCTTCGTGGTTTTTTTTTTTTTTTTTTGTATTTAGTGTTTACATTGAAAAAAAAAATTCAACCAGCCTCTTAGTTTACACATTTACAAGAATCTGCTTTTACCACGGTTAGCCGCAGCTGGGGGGAGGGGCCGCGCCATTTGCGTGTATACACAGAAAGAAGGAAAACGGGGGATAAAGATGAAGACAGGTAAATAGGACAGCTCAGCAGAGGGAGAGAGAAACATCCAGAAGGCAGCCCACAGAGCAGCCTTACTTCTGGCACCAGCTTCCCAGCAGCCTTCCTAGTGCCAGCCCTGGCCCTTCACCTAGCATCTTCCTGCTTCCCTAGCTGTGAGCAGGACCTTGGTGGCCATCTCCTCCAGCGACTACCAGGAATGAAATATTGCACTCGTGAAGAACAGAAAGCCTCAGGGTGGTGGGACAGCCAGGAATGGGTACCCTTGTTTATCCTGTAGGCCACCACGAGTGGCCCTTTGAGCAACTAGTGAGAGAGAGTCCCTGGGACCAGGACAGACTCCTGGCGGGCCTGAGCAAAAGAAGAGACGCTGAGGGGTCCCAGTTAGGGTTGGATGCCCATCAATACTCCTTACTTCCTGGAAAGCCTTGGCCTGGTGAGGCACTGGGGAGCATGTGTACCACAAGGTATTTCTGAGGACAAAGGCCTTTGTCCATGGGACTGGCCTGCTCTCTCTAACACGGGAAAAGTGAGGGCTGCTGAGCTCTCCTGGCACATGGGGCCAGGATGTGGGTACAAGAGAACAGAAGGGACCCTTGCTGTATACTCCATGCATGAGCCTGCCATGCCATCTGCTATAAAAAAGGTCCAGAAACTGTTTGGGGGTGGGGTGGGCAGAGGAGCCCCAGGACCAGGTTCTAGATTGAAAGAAGCGGAGCCGGAGGGGCCTCTCCCCCTCAGGTGAGCAGCACCTGCCTCCTACTGTTGATTCTAGCGCCTCTGGCTCCGCCTTACCACCATCCACACTTGAGGTCAGCAGAGGAGGTGCGGTCCCAGGGAAAGTGTCTGGTGGGGAGAGGGGCGGCTTGTGGTGAGGGGGTGCGCATGCAGGACTGTGGACCAGCCCCAGGCGGGCCCCAAATGCTGGCCCAGATAGCGACCTGGCCAGCTGCACCATTGGGGAAGCCCTGCTGCTCCTGAGGGGCCGTTGTCACCCTGGAGGATAAGGGACCGGTGGGGACACAAGGGACGGGGGCCGACTACACCCTGCTTGAGTGAGGTCAGGCTTCTCTCCCTGCAACAAACTGGCCACGGAAACGGAAACCAGAAATAGCTTGGAATACTCAGGAAAGAAAATCTAAACATCCATTTTTCTCATTGATACTTCAAAATATTTGTTCGTTTGTTTTGTTTTAAACAGAGGTAAGATACATATGGCTGCTGCTGTATCCCGGGCTGGGGGTGGGGCAGGCCGGTCCTGGCTTGCAGGCCTCTTGCAGCTGGGACTCCTGTCCTTCCAGGGGACACCATCACTGACCCCACCCCAGGGCTTTTATGTATGGGACGTACTGGAAGGAAATAAACCGGATGTAATTTCCTTCACACAGTTGGCCCCCAAGGGACTGAGGATATGACTGGGCCTCATGTGACCATCCCATGGCCTTTGGCCTCGCCCCCATTCCAGCAGCCTCTGCAGTCACAGGTGCCCCTGTTGGAATTCAACTAGGCTGAGAACAGTGCATTTCCAAAGAAAACCCCAGGACAAAACCCCTGCACACACGCGCGCGCGCGCGCGCACACACACACACACACACACACACACACACACACACACACACACCCTTGTCACATAGGTGGGAAAAATCCTTTTCCACTTTTCCCCCCATAAAACTTCCCCACAGAAATACAATATTTACATAGAGAAATAAATAGACAACACACCTGATTTCTGCTTTCCCTGGCGGGAGACAGTCGGAGGTACTAGGGAAATATGGCTTGGATTCTAATCTCTCGAGAACGCGGCGAAGCAGCAGAGCAGCCAGTCCCGTGGGACCAGCCCGGCCCTCCCTCCAGATGGCTGGGATGGGCCTGGGGTCCAGAGAACTTCCAGAGAAGCCCGACCCCGCCTCGGGGGCCGCATATTCGCTCAGACCAGCTCCCGGCCAGACAACCTCTTGGCTGCAACTATGGACGGCGTGGGCAGAGGTGGAGGCAGCTCAACACAGGATAGGCACCCCGTCCGCTGTCACCAGGCGCCCAGTGGTGGGATCGTAGGTGCCTGCCAGGTAATAGAGGTCCTGCCGGTCCTGGTACTTTCGGCCTCGCATCATCTGCTCGTACTGCTCCCGCCCGACCACCTGGCACTTGTGGGAAATGGTCTGCACGTCGTTTTCGTCCTCGTGGCAGGACTGGTACAGTGCGTTCTGCCGGGGAAGGGCACAGTGTGGGTGGCCTCGAAGCGCGACCCCGAACCTGGGGAGGGGATGCTGGCTGCCCGGCCAGCCTGGTATGGGGCCCACCTCACCTTCCCGTCGCTCTGCCGCTTCCCCAGGTTGGTCTCCTCGGGGTGGTAGAACCATTTCACCTTCACCACCATGTTGCTGCCCCACGACTCCCACAAGCTCTCGATGCGCCCAATGTAGGGCAGGTTGGGGCGTCCGGCCGACAGGAAGACGGCGCAGTCCCCGACACGCAGCGTCTCCTTGCCTCGGACGATGGCCTTGTAGAACAGCTTCCTGGCCTTTCCCTTCATGCCTCGTCTCTGCAGGGCAGACCAGTACACAGGGGGCTGAGGAGGGGCGCAGCGAGAGGATGGTGGCCAGGGGAGCTGGCGGCACGCAGGGGGACGGGTGGGGTGTCTCCCCCTGTGTTTGGGAGGAGGAAGAGCCACCGCCATAGACTCTCTGTGAGGTGGGCTGCAAGCGGATTCTCTCTGCGCACTTGTCATGACAGAAAGACCGTAGAGAGTCCAAAGGCACATGGGATGTGAGGGCAGAGACACGCATTAGACGCTCACTGCAGTCTGAGTCACCCACAGACAGCTGAGCAGGGAGGCCAGGCTGTGCCTTTAATCCCTGCACTGGGGAGGAAGGAGCAGGCGAGCTCTGTGAGCTCCAGGCCAGCCTGCTGTACACAGTCCAGGCCAGCCAGCGCTCCAGATACCTTGTCACAAGCAAGCAAACAAAACCCACGAACAAGCACAGGCCCGGCACAGACTGATCACCAGGAAAGGCTCCTCAGGCAGCACCTCGGAGTGGCACCAGGCACACACTCCAGGTGTGCGGGTCATTTGTGTGACCACACTCGGGAGGCAGGGGCAGGCGGAGCTTTGAGTTCAAGGCCAGCCTGGTCTACAGAGCGAACTCTAGGACAGCCAGGGCCAACAGAAGTCTCAGAAAAACAACAACAAAACAAATGTGTACATTCGGATCCCCCTGTAGCTAGAGTCACGAGCTGCCCTAAATGCTGGGAACGGACCAGGTCCTTTGCAAGACCAAAGTGAGCTCTCAGCCACGGGGCCAATGCACTCCAGCCCCTGACTGGGTCACTTAAAAGCGAAGAGGAGTACCCAGAGGTGTGTGGGGTGAAGGAGCAAGGGCAAAGCCACTCCACTCTCTGCATGGGGGGGGAGGGGGAGGCCTACCTGTGTGGGGTTTCCAGACCACTTCCAGAGCTGCCGGGCGGGCAGGAAGGCTGAGATCTTTGGCCGGTTTTCTACGGAGGGCAGCCGTTGCCTCCGAGAAAGCTCTTTGGCTTTGGAGAAGCTCAGGGCCTCCTTGCGCTTGAACTTGGATTTCCCACCACTGGGACCGGCCCCTGCCCCTGCCCCGGCCACCCCGGCCCTGGACAGGAAGCAGCGCTGGGCGTGGGCGTGGGTGTGGGCGTGCGCGCCGCCTTTGGAGCGCAGGGCCTCGGGGGGAGCCAGGAGCGCCGGCACGGGGCGCGAGAGGCAAGTCTGCAGCAGCAGGGCGGGGTCCTCATCGTCGGAGCTGTAGGAGGAGTCCTCATTGTCCGACGAACAGAGACTGGAGGTGGACATGGAGCCTGAGGAGGAGGACGTGGACGAGCCGGAGGACGACGACGACATGGAGAGGCGGGTGAGGAAGCGGGAGGGCACACCGGCGGCCAGCCCCGGCCCGTCCTCATCCTCCTCGGAGTAGGAGCTGGGGCAGTCGCTGTCACAGGGCAGCGGGTACTTACGCAGGGCTAGTCCCATGGGTAGCGGGTGCACAGGCGCCCGCCCCTTCTTGTCCTTGCCCATGAGGGCCGGGTGTGCATAACTGGGGCTGGCCAGAGGCCGGCCCAGCTTGGCTCCGAAGTCCTTGTCGCTCATAAGCAGAGTCTTGCAGTTTTTGTTCTTGGGAGAGGTCACACCCTCATGGTCCAACTTAACCAGAAACTCGCTGCCTGCCCGCCGCCGCCCGGCCTTTTCGGCCCGGAGCAGCTTGTGGGCCCCGCCGGGCAGGCCTGCCCCAGCCCCTCCAACGAAAGGCGTGTAGGAACTGGCCAGGCTGCTGAAGGAGTCTGCTCGGAAGCTGTTACCAAACACAGGGGCAGCCATGCTGTGCATGGGAAACAGGGTCTCCCGGGCCCGCAGCTTCTTGGTGCCCCCGTTGAGCTGGAAGAGGTTCTGCAGCACCCCTGGCGCTTTGCCACCTGCCGCTGCCACAGCCACCGCTTTCCGCTTGGTCTGAGCCACTGCCGACCAGCTCAGCAGGGGACTGCCCCTGCGGCCTAGGAAGTGGTCAGAGGCCCCCGCCGGGGACTTGGCACCTGAGGTCAGGAGGTCTACTTTGCCTGGGGGGGGGGGAGTCAGAGTCAGCTGCACCTGCCCAGCCCACCCAGTGGTCTGCATTCACCACTCCCCCACCCGCCAGGCCCCATGCGCCTCCCAGGGCCCAGTTCAACAGCTCTGCAAATACCAGCTTTGTCTTTGCCGATGGATTTCTTCCCAGGGGTCTTGGAAGTTTCAGGGCCATCCTGCACTTTCGGGGACAGGCTGGGAGTGGGGGCTTCACTGGGCGTGGGGGTCTCACTGGATGCCTTTTTGGTCCTCCGGCAGCTGCTGGAAACCAGCAGGGCCGGAGAAGGCTCTGTGCCTGTGGAGTGGACGGAGGGCTGGTCATGGGCCTGCTGGTGGGTGACCACCACCCTTTGTGAAACGATGGTGAGGCCCGAGTAGGAGGGGCTTCAGGGAGCAGATAAGGGTAGGGGGAGCCCCGCCCATGGGTAGATGGCCCTGGGGTGCTCACACTGGATCTTGAAGTCCGGAGGCAACAGCCTGATATTAGAGACAGCTATGTGGCCCGTGTCTCCATCATCAAACTCGACCACCACCGAATCCAGGCCCTCTTCTTCATCGCTAGAAGCACCTGCAAGGAGGCATGTCCTGAGCGTGTGGCCAGCCCAGCTCACCAGAAGCCATGTCAGGCCCGGGGACAACAGGGGTGACAGGAGAAAAAGAGAGATGTTACGGGGCGCTTCTGCAGCCTGACCACACCGGCAGTCCGGTAAGCCGGCACCGCTCGACCTGGCTACCTGGTATTAAAAGCCAGGGGTCCGGTGCACAGGCGTCCCGCCCTCCACACTGCCTGCGTTTCCTCCAACAGACACCTGCCCGTTCACCTTCAGACCTTCCCACGCCGAGGGCCCTACCCGTCCTGTCTCGGTGTGCTGGGATGCGCCCACGACAGCTTTGGAGAACCAGGCACGGGAATTCTGGGCCCTTTTCATGCAGGTCTGCCCTTCTCCAGGGCAGCTTGACTATGGGTAGGAGGGACCCTCTCGGGAGCCTGGTGCCTTGGCCCTCATCCTGGCCATGAAGATACTGACCTCGAACCACATTGCCTGGATACAGACACCGAGACTTTGGACTCCAGTAGGCACAGACCCGGGTCCCAGGTGGGAGGTACCGGCTGGACTGGGGCCGGACATCAAGAACCTGCAGGGAGCAGCAGAGCAGAGCTGATAACCAGCGGGTCTGGTCACACACGCCTCGGTGTGCAGCCAGCCAAGTCCTCCCGGTGGTGGGGACAGCCACCAGGCTGGCTCCCCGCGCAGGGCCGTCCTTACCGCTTCCTGCAGCAGCTGCTCCAGTGAGTAGATCCTCTGCCGGTTGCCTCTCTCGCCCTCTATGACGATGCTGTAGCTGAGGGCGTTGTGGGGGATGTGTCAGGCTCCTGGGGGAGCCTCGCTGCCCCACGGGCCGCAGCCAGCATGCACCCCTCCCTCCCGGGCCCCAGCCTCACATATCGGGGGGCTGCAGGGTCCTGACGCTGCCCGCGTAGAGCAGACTGTCCTCCTTTGGGATCAGCACGGGCAGTCCGTCCTGAAGGTCCTCCTTGTGGATGGTGCAGGAGCGCGCTGTGGGGGGCGGCCGTCAGAGCTGGGCCCCGGGCCCACCCACCACCTCCCCAGGCGACCGTGTGTCCCCACTGCCGCTTACCCAGGGCGGCACTCTGCTCTGCGCTCAGCTGGACGCCGACTTCCTCTTCTTCCTCTTCCTCGTCCGAGAAGCTGCTGTCGTCAAACTCGAAGTCATCCTCCACAGCGAAGCTCTCCAGCAGCCGGCTCACGGCTCGGCCCTGGCCCTGGGTGAGACACGGTCAGGGGCAGAGGCTGGAAGGGCTGGGACCCCACTGGGAGCCCCTGGGCTGGAAGGGCTGCTACCTGCTTGCTGACCGTCTCTCTCTTCACCTTCGTCAGCTTCCTGCTCTTCCCCAGGATGGCCTTGGCATTTCGGGCTGACAGGGCGATGGACAAGGCCCCATTCTTCCTCTGGTCAAGAAGGATGGACAGAGGACAGCAATGAGGATTGGAACAGCTTCCCTGGCCAGTATGGGCTGTGACTCGGGGTCAGAGTTGAGTGGGGAAGGAGGAGAAGCAGTATCACCCTCCTTGGGATGCCCACTGACCGCTCTTACGCCCATGAGACCCTGCTAGCCTACCCTCAGGACTGGCTGCAACATGGCGCTCTTGCGTGTGGCTCTCTTGAGGCGCTCACTGGCAAGTTTGCTGCCCTCCTCTCGGCAGGAAAAGGTCCGGGTGGGGCTGAAAAGGGCATCTCTGCTGGTGGCAGTCCCAGGCTCTGCTCGAAGGCTACTTTTCGCCTTGCCCTTGGCTTTCCTCTTGCCAGGTGCACCTGGAGGCTGCCGCCCTGGTGCCCGCTCCAGCTTGGGGCCCACCTTGCTTTTTACTGTCCGTCTCTTGATCTTAACCTCGCCCTCAGGGCTGGACAGGCGGCAGGGCCCTGTAGGAGAGAGGGGGGTGGTCACTGGAACCCTGGTTATAGAGGGCTGTGTTCAGGTGTGCTCTGGTTTCTTTGTTACCTAGCAAGCCCTGCCTCTCCTTTTTCTTCTTGGCCTTCTGGTTGGCTTCCATCTTGACCACGGAGGAAGGGGAGGGTCCCAACACTGCCACACCAGGCCCTGGGTGCAACACCAGCCCAGGCTCCCTGGGAGCCACCTCTGTCCCCAGGAGTGCCTGGCAGTCTTCACTGTCATAGCCGCTGCCTGCGGGAACAGCCGAGGAGACGTGGTGACTGCTGTTGAATTGGCTGCTCGGGGTAGACCTAGAGAACTCGGCCAGTGGGGACAGTCCTCCTTTGGGCTGCTCAGGGGTGGGGGCAGGAACTGGCAGGGGAAGGGAACAGGACTTTCCTTCTTGCAGCCCTGACTTCCCTGGGGAGTCCCTCCCTCCTTCTGTGTCCTCTGGCCCAGCTGGCCCCCTGCTTCCTGTCCCCAAAGCACTGCTTCCCCTTGTCCTCACTCAGCTTCAACCCTAGAGGAGGGGCCAGGAGGGAGGAAGCCTCTATTTTTCCAGGCCGTTTCTGGCCTGGGGAGGAGGAAAGCTCTCCGGACACTGCAGGGCAAAGGTGGCGAGGGGCTATTTTTTTTTTTTTATTAATTACACTTTATTCATTTTGTATCCCCCATAAGCCCCTCCCTCCTCCCCTCCCGAGGGGCTATTTTTAACATGCTTCCCAGGTGTGTCCAGGGCTTCTTTCTGCCTCAGGAAGGGGGCTCCTGAGCCCTGGCCTGGGGCAAAGTCTCCCTCCCCAGCCCTGCCCAACAGGAGGCTGTCCCTGGACTACCGTTCCACAGGCTTCACCTGGATCTGGGGTAGCCGCTCCCTGTGTGCACCCCTCCTTCAGCCCCCGCGACCACGGCCCAGTCGCTCATACCAGCAACTTGCCTGCCTCGTGGGCCACAGCCACTGCTGGCTGGGCTTGGAACTTGGGCGTCTCCCTGCCACCGTCCGTATCGGGGTGTGGATGCCGAGCTGCCCCCGCCACTCTGCCACTCTTGGCTCTGGAGAGCTTCTTGCGGATGCGCCCACTGGGGGCGGCCTCTTTGTGCTGGAAGGCACTGAGGCCGGCAGGCAGCCCCTGGCTCCTGACCTTTGGCTTCAACTGGGCCACCTTGTGGGCAGCGGAGGAAGACAGCTCGGCCTGGCCACTGCTCTTGCTCCGCACCTTTCCCTGTGAAGGAGAGGTGGTGTCATCCTCAGGCACGGCCCCGGCCCCTGGCCTGTGGGTCTCCTCTATCAAAGGGCAGCCCTGGGGACTTGCCTGAGCAGGGGCCTGAGGACATCTTGGGCACAGGGCTGCCCGCTGGAGTGAACACTGCGCCCACCATCTATCCAACCCCTGTCCCAATTCACCTCTGGATGGTGGAATGGGGACGGGGCTGAGGACCAGAAGGCCCTTTGCATCATAGGTATTTGCTGATTGCTTCTGTGAAATGCACAGTTCAAAAGAAGAGTTCTCTAGGTAGACTAGCCAGCCAGCACCCTGCCCATGCCTGTAGCGCTCAGGAGGCAGAGATGTGAGGGTGGCTGCAAGCTCAAGGGCAGCCTGACTCGCAGAGCAAGTTTGATAGTCAGGGTATGGAGACTGAAACTACCACCACCATCACCACCGCCAAACCATGCCAAAAACAAGCAAAAATAAAAACAGCCTCTGCCATGGAAGGGGACGGACTAGGTAACAATAGGTCTAGGACCCTGGAGAGAGAAAAGTGGAAGGACCCAAGTTTCTATGGTGTTCAGAGCCAGGCACTGTGGCCATGGATTCACTTCCGCAGCACATTGCTATGTCTTCTTTATGGGGTGTGTGTGCGTGCGCGCATGCAGTGCATCAGGGACCAGTGACAAGCCACACGCAGGGAAATCTACTGTCAGTATCCAGAGGCAACAGCCCCTGGTTACACTGGATATCTGTGCCATCGCTTCCTTTAACCAAGGTATCAGCAGCTCACCAAACCCCTTCGGCTCACCCAGCCTCAACCCCGGGAAACCCCGAGGGTGGCGGCCTGGACACTCACTGCGGAGGCCGCCTGCAGGCCTGTGTAGGCACTCTTTTCCAGTTTGCTTCGCTTCCTTGTGGGCTCCTCGCCGCGTAGCTCCGCACACAGCAGACTCAGACTGGCACGAACAGCCCTGGGGGAAGGCAGTGGTGGGTACGGTGGACACAGCAGCAGGGCCCGGGGCAGCCTGCGTGCCGGGCCCTGTTCAGCAGCAGGCCCTGGGGGTCCAGCCAGTCCTGAGCCTCTTGGTCAGGTCCCCTGCCTGCCGGCTAGCACCAGCTCCTGGTGGTCCTTGGGGCCTTCCCCTGACTCATCCAGCTTCACTATTCCCCTGTCCGTCGTGAGCCATCTCCTCTAGGCTGGCAGTTCGGTCAGGGGTCACCATGGTAAAGCAGCTAGAGAGGAAACAGCAGGGGGTTCTGCCTGGCCTCCCACAGCTCTAGCCTCCTGTCATGAGGGCAGACATGTCTCCCCGACATCCCAATGTCTGACTTCATTTCCTTCCTAGCGCCCCCTTCCCATGAGGAAACCAACACTGCCTGTTTGCCCGAGGTGGGCCAGGGGCTGGGGTTTGCCCTCCCACCTGTCAACCCCTTAGCCAACAGAGCACAGAAAGGAAACTGGCTGCTCATGAAAATGAGTGGCAGATGGGGACTGAGGGCCTGGCCCAGCTCTGACCTCATGTGGCCAGATACCACCCTCCAGCTTCCTGTCCAACAATGCAGCTGGATCTCTGAAGACAGAAGTCCAGGCAGGAAGGCCCTGCTGCTCTGGGAGCCTCCCTGACCCCAGCTTCCTGCCACTTTGCCTGGCCTCCCACTTCCGGCATGGAGGAGGCCCAGCCCTGAGGCCCAAGGCCTCCTGCCCCCACTGGGTTCCGGAACATGGCTCAAGGGTCTGTCGGGACAGGATTGGAGGTGGGGAGACTGTCAGGAGACTCACTCTTTGGAAAGAGGGGCCCTGGCTGTGGATCCTTCCTTGCCCTCAGGCTGCTGGCTTCTCTGGGTCATAGGTGAACCTGGCAGCAAGGTTAAGCTTACTTGCTGGGATTTAGGCTAGAGTCCAGCATAGGCAATGTGGCCAGCGCTGGCAGGTCCAGAGAGGGGGAGGTTTGGGGGGCATTTCCCTGCCCTTTGGCAGGTTCTCCAACACCCTCCATGGACCCCAGTAGCCATCATGCTCAGCAGCCCCCAAGGTTCGGACTGGTTCTCAAAGGAGCCCCCTGCCGGGTGGGGGCCAGGACCTTGGTGAGCCCCCAGCCATATGGTGAACCCTCTCCCTTGCCTGCAGCCCACACAAACTCCCCCGCCCCATAACCTTCTCTGCATTTGCTAATGTTTTGTGACATAAAGCCCTGAGATTAATTTTTTGCCTCTGTCTTAATTGAAGGAACCATTTAGTGCCGATTTAACTATTATTACCAAATCATCAGGATTGATGCAGTGCGCGCGCGCGCGCCAATCGTGTTTGGAGGAGCTCGGAGGATTTATGCAAATGGGCCTGCCGGGAGAGGCAATTTGTAGCCGAGAAGGACAATTATACCCGGCCCGGGAGTGCGCCAGCGACTACGCCGGGCGGGTAATGGATAATAACATCGCGCGGCAGCCGTGAGCAGCAGCGCAGCGTGACCAACGACTTTATACAGTGCAGATAAAGAGCCTTTTACGCAACGCTGCCTCCCATGCGAGGGGCCAGGGCTGGCCGGTGGCTCCAAGGGGTGATGCCACAGCCTTAGCCTCGGCGAGGTTCACAGCATTGGTGCAGCCAAGCCTAAACTGTGAGATCCAGGAGGGGGCGCTGACGCTGGTAGCCAGGCATGGGGAGAGGCTGTGCTGGACGGTGCCAGGCCCCGGCGGGGCTCTATCTGCTGGACCTCAAGTCCAGGTCTCAGGTTTGGGGAGGGGTCAGGGCAGGCCCACACACCCCGCGCCCACACTGCAGACTCACTTGGCTTTCTTGCCGTCACTTCTGGCGAGCTGGCCGCCGGGACGCAGGGTGGGCAGTGAGCTGGAGTGTTTGCGCTTCCGAGGCCTGCCAGGCCCCCGCCTTGCGGGACTCCGTGAGCTCTCCTCCCTCCTGCAGGCCACAGACAGGATGTTAAGAAACTTTAAAACGCTCCACCCCAGGCCTACCGGGGGTACTGCCCTGCAGGGGGGAGGGCCGGGGGGGGGGGGGCAGCTGTGCTCTCAGAGTGTAATGGGTGGCAGGCTGAAGGCAAGGCTCAACTAGGTTCTCGGGGCGCAATCTGTAGCTCTAGGCAGGCAGCACTTTCCTGCCTTGCACAGCCTGCTCAAGAAGCTCCCACTGATGGCCCCTCAGGCAACTGAGCAGGTCCCAGCTGGCCCACGGGTCCCGAGTCCTCCCCGACCAGCCTCTCTGTGCTGTCCTCTGCTGAAGGACTGCTTCTCCCACCCAGACGGCACCCCTCAGCTTGGCTGCCCAGGTCTCATGAGCACCGTGCAGCCTGCAGCTTCTGGGGTGCTCCAGCACAGCCCCTGCCCACAAGGTGGCAACCAGGGCCCAGCAGCTGCCCCGCTGTGCCTCCCCATCTGCTGGGACCACGGATGCCAGCCCTGCCTGCGTGTCGTACTCATGGTCATGCCTGCGCTGCAGGCGCGCCAGCTCCCGCTGCTTCTCCTTGTATCGCCTCTGCAGCTCCGCCAGCTGCATGCGCATCTCCACTTCCTGCGTGTCCAGCCGCTCGATGGCAGCCTTCAGGGGACAAACCTGTGTGCAAGAGTTCAGGAACCTGAGCACTGTAGCCAAGCCTCGCCCAGGGCACAGAGGTCCCCCCGTCTGTTATGGCGCTGGGCGGTGGGGCTCTCACTTACAGGCTTGGCTTTAGGGGCCCAGGTGTCCTTGCGCTGCAGGATCTGCATTCTAGGGGTGAGCCTGGGGCCTCTGTCTGGGTCAGCCACTGGGGCCTGCAGTGAAGTAACTGAGCTGTCCAGGCTAGCAGCCTCCACCAGGGACCAGGCTGTGGCCAGCGTGGCCAGGTGCTGCAGGTTGAAGGCTAGCACATCCTCGTCCTCTGCTGGAGGGAAAGGGATGGGTCACGGGCTGCCCCTTCCCAGCACAGTCCTAGCCTCAGGGTGTGGGAACCAGGGTGAGGTCAAACCACACAGAATAGCCTGCCTGTGCGCCAGGCTACAGCTGAGGAGAAGGCCCACCCCAGGCCACAGTGCATGACGAATGGGTCACGCAGGCCTGGACAGCTTCCAGAGCCCGCAAGAGTGCACCCACACTTCTGGACACTAGGAATCAAGCAGTTAGGGTGCTGAGGCTTACACCATGAACCAAGTGTAAAAATAGGCAGACCAACGTTCCGGGCCTGCGCAACTGAGTGTAGAGCCCGGTCTGCAGTCACAAGCAGCTGCCCACCTGTCCATCCTACCGTCATCCACCTCCCGCCAGCACCTGGGCAGCAGGGGTAGCTAACCACAGAGGAAAACCTGGGTGGGGCCGCAGGGCTGGATCAGCACTGTGGAGGAGTGAGGGCAGCCAGGCTGAGCCCGGGAGGACATCTAAGAAGGGTCAGAGGAGTCCAGTGGGGTCTGAGCGGAAGTCACCCTGAACAGCAGCACCCCACCCACCAACCCAGGGGTCACGTGACACCACTGTCCACTGGAAGGAAACCAGGCTCCTCGAAGACAGCTGGGGTTGGAGGGCTGCAGGAAGACTCGGGGAAGCAAGTAAGTGTGCAAAGTCCACAGGGTTGGCTCAAGGGCACTACCACCCAAACCCAAGCAAGCTGGTCGTCAGAGAAAAGAGGGACAGCATGGGACCACTGCAGCTGGGGAGACTCTACCCCAGGAAGGGCTCCGAGGCTGGAGCATCACCGCAGGGCGGGCATGTAGAGGAAGAGCTCCCACGGAGCTTCTGCCCCTAGGCTCCCAACTACTGAGGGGCAGGCGGCAGGGGCTGTGAGCCACCTACACCAGAGGAAACACGGGTGACCACCGACAGCCCACAGCTGCCCTGGAGAAGCCCGCCCTGGAGGCCCTACCAAAAGCGCAGTGTCTGCTTCCCGTTAGGAGAGAAAAGCAGAGAAGCCCGGCACCAGTCACCCCATAAAGTGATGGGTCCATAACCATGTCAAGTACGTGAGGTAGGGGCCCAACACGGGGCAAGACCCCAGGAGCAAGGACCAGTCTCCTCAAAGGCTGCTTCTGTGATGCAGGAGCCTGCTGTCCCCGCAGGGAGAGGTAGGGTACGCTGGGATGGCTTGGCAGCTGCTCGGATTCTCCTTGGGGTCACGCCCTGTGTCTGACGCCACAGCATGGCGTGGCAGCTCCAGCAGCCACACCAGGTTACCCACTGTAACCTACAACCCATAACCCCCACACAGCATGCATGGGCAGTGTGGCACGTGCCCACAAAGCGCCGGGACGTGATTGGTCCCCCATGAGTCCCCTCATGCTATTGCACAACCTTCACATGGGAGGCCCTGGCAGCTTGGCCTTGACCCTAGGAATCCCATAGTACTCAAATGAGGCCTCAGCAGGAATCTAGCAGGTTGGTGGGTCTCTCCCCTCTGCAGAGTCCAGCAGGCGGTCCTCCAGGGCCTGTGCTTTCAGGCCCTGTCCATCCCCTTTCCCCATGACTCTTGCCAGGACAGGCCTGAGGCTAGGCTGGCCTGCAGCCCCGGCTGAGGGCAAGGGCCTGGGGAGCTTTAAGCGGCAGGAAAACAGGCCGAGCCCGAAGACTGTTAGCTCGTGCTGGAAACACCTGCTACATGATGGCTGGCTGGGGTGCTCCTCAGTGAGGTACTTCCTCTGTGGCCACAAGGGAGGTGCTGCTTCTCTGTCAGTAAGGAGGGGGCTTCAAACGCAGGGGCTGCCAGGGAGCTGTGTGGCTCTTCCTGCTGAGTACAGACTGCCTGGGCTGCAGCTCTCATCACGGCACGAATCTTAGGGCCCTTAGGTGTTTGGCTGGTGAGCGTAGGAACCCCTGTCCCAAAAGTCAGTCTGAAGCAGGGGACCTGCAGCCACAGCCACAGCCACAGCCGCAGCCGCAGCCTCAGCCTGGTGGGTATCTGAGAACCATTCTGAGGCTTGGGGGTTCAGTGAGCCTAGTCTGGCGGCCCCCGCCCCAACAAAGCAGTAGACCGGAGCTTTCTGCTACCTTTCCTGCTACCAGGCCCCCCTCTAAACCTCTGCCTCGGGCCTCATCATCTCCTACACAAAATGGAGACAGTATGGAGTGCTGCCCCTAGGGACCCTATGACTCGAACCTGCCACAGAGAGGCGGAACTGGTCCCAGCGGTCCCGCCCAGGACTGGTTGGTTCCTCCAAGTGGGCACACCTGCACCGATTTCCATGAAGGAAACCCTGTGGGGACCAGTCTCCCCACTGGGGTTTCCCTTTCTTTACGGATAACTGCGCCAGGGCAAAGGCTACCATCTGTCTGACCCCGAGGGGCCAGCTCCCAGGGTCCCAGGGAAGGGTGCTGTAGCTGGGTCTCACCTTGCGTGGCCAGCTCGCTCTTCTGCCGCTGGATCTCCAGATCAGCCAGCTCGCTGAGCAGGGCAATCCCATGAATCCCTGAGCTACGGGGCAGAGGGGCCGTGCTGAGTGGCCCGGAGGCTGCTGGGGTCTGAGAGTCTGGCAGGCTGATGTCAGGCAGGTCCCCTAGGTCCACAGTGGCAGCCACCAAGGCATCCAAGCCTGGCAGCGCTTTGGGTGAGTGGCTGGGGTTGGGAGTCCCCCAGTCCATCTCTGAGTCCCCCCCACTCTCCTCCAGCTGGGCTTCCTCCTCCAGCTGGGCCGCATCAGGGGCCTTCTGTGAACCTTCATCATTGTCCAGGGCAACGGGGCTCCCTGCTCCCTGTTCCAGTGCTTGAGGGGCAGCCCCCGAAGGGGGCTGTGGGGTCCCCAGGTCCATGGTCCTCTCATTTTGCATCCCTCCCTGAGTAGAATTAGTCTGGCCAGTAGCCTCAGTGTCCCCTCCCTCGAGGAGGCCTCCAAATCTCAGTGCTTGTAACCCCTCAAGTGGGCCGGGGTCCTCTGCCTTCCTTAGTGGGAGTCCCCGCTCAGCAGGGTGGGGGACAATGGTGAGGTCCGGGGCGGCCTCCCTGGCCCTGGAGAGCCCAGGCTCCTCCAGGCTTCTGGGGCTGCAGGGGGGTGGCTCCCCAGTCAAGAACGTCCTTGCGGGCTCAGGCCGAGTCCCTGGGGTAGTGGTTTGCATAGTTTTGGGGTCTGGGAGGTCAGAGGAGTGCAGGTCTGAGGGGAGGGAGAAGTCCACGCCAGCCGTGGGGTTCAATCCTGGAGGCAGTTCTGTAAAAGAGGGCACACAGGAGTCTTCAGCTGGGACCAGCAGAGGCAGCATGGCCCCGTTACAGATGGCCTATGAGACAGGACACAGGGATGTGGCCAAGCTTTACTAAGGGGGTACCAGGAAGCAAGGCTCAGAACCAGCGCCACTTCCAGGCCAGGCCCCACAAGGCACCTCTGGTGTGGCTGTCTGGAAAAGAGGGATTTTCAAACCATGGTGCTTGAATTAGGGTTTTTCCTGAACTAGAACAAGCTGGCAGTGTGTCAGAGCATGATGCCCCATTAAAAAAAAAAAAAAAGGCTGAAGCACAAAACCTCTGCTGGCTCTGTCTCCTCACTGTGGAATTGGGACAGGCTTTATGTTCATCAGATGGATTTCCAAAGCACTCAGCCTGATTCAGAGAAAATCATAGGCTTTTGGAAAGCTGGTGGGGGTGGCGGGCACAAGACAGCCTCCTCACCTCGCCTCGGGCAGGCAGACTGCTGCTCTGGCCCCAGGTGGCAAGGTGACATCATCCTCTCCCTCAGGTTTGGTTGGGGACAGGTCCCGAGTCTGATGTCACCAGCTGTGGCAGGGCAAGTGTGTCACCACTCACAGGACCCTTGCGCTGGCCAGTTTTTTTTTTGGGGGGGGAGGGGGGTGTCTGGTTCTTATTTTGCCCATCTACCCAGAGTAAACAGGGGCCTAGAGCTGGGCCGTTATGGTAACTCCCGGATCACAGGATTGTCAAGAGAGAAGAGAGCTTCCTGGTCTGAGTACGGGAATGCCTGGGCAGAAAAAAATCGGGGTAACCCCAACCACCCACCAGGGGTAGGACTTGCCAGGCAAAAAAGGCTCATTCCCTCACCTGGTTCCAGCGTGGTAAGGTTGGTTCCAGCCCGCTGGCCCTCCCCACTCTTGTCCTTGGTGCTAGGCACCTTGGAGCCAGGCCCTGGGCTGCCAGTGGGGCAGATGGATAAAGTGCAGGGGGCACTGGGACGAGGTGGAGGTGTGGGGCAGCCAGCAGGGGTCTTCAGAGAGGGTGAGCGGCAGCAGGGTGACAGCTTGACCAGGCCTGCACTGGCAGATGAGGGGGTGCCCTTGGCCATGGGGGTTAAGGCAACTGGCTTGTGGGTCGGCTTTGGGGCCTTCTCCTGTGCAGGCTCCTCCAGCTCCATGTGGCGGTCCTCAGGCTTGCGCTGTTGGGTGGGGAAGAGGCTCAGACGGTCACACCCTTGGGACCCCTGAGGCCCACTGCTCAGTGAGAGGCATGCAGGGGTGTCCTGGGACCATCTGCATGGAACCTGCAGGGGTAGGATTGTCTTGGATCTCAAGTCGGAGTGGCTGTTGGGGGCATGGTACCTGGAACTGGGCAGCCCGCTGTAGCTCCAGAGCCTGAGTGGTCCGTTGCTGCTGCTGTTGCTGTTGCTGTTGTTGCTGCTGCTGCTGCTGCTGCTGTTGCAGTGCGTACAGCTCTTGCTGCCGAAGCAGCTGGGACCTCGAGTACACAGGGAGCTGGCCGGGATGCTGCATGTGGGAGGCAGGACCCCGTGCCCCATACATGGGGGGCCACCGTGAGGCCTGGTCCATAACGTCAGCTGCAGGCAGGGCCAGAGGACCATCAGTTCCAGCCAGAGACCACGAGCCCACCTGGGCCAGCCTCCCCTCCTCCCTTCAACTCTCCTCAGCCCATCCCTCTTCCTGTCCCTGGGGATAAGCCAAGTACCTCATACTTCTTGGCTGGGCCCTGGTAGGCCATGTGCTTCCCTCCCCCCCCCCCCCCCCCCCCCCCCCCCCCCCCCCAGACACACTGCTCAGCCCCACATGCGAACAGCCAGGACTGGAGAGGGCCCTCACCAAGCGTGTGAGGAGTGGCGTGGGGTGCAGTTTCCGAGGGTAAGAGGACTAGCTGCGCGGGTGCGTCTTGGGGGAGGGGGAACACTGAGGGCATGGAGCCGGGAACCGACGCTGGGAAGCCAGGGGGCAGGTTCTGGTGCAGGGCGGGGTGTCCGAGGCCTGAGGAGTGGAGTGCAGTGTTCAGGCTGAAGAGCCCGGTTAACTCTCAGGCTTCCCACTCGTGGGTAGCCCAGACAGGAGAGGATGACCTCCAAGCCAGCCTCCCACTCTGCTCTCGGGGCACTAACCATAGGAATGTCCCCCCATCCACAAGGAGGGACTTCGGGTGCGGGGCAGCCAGTGGGGATGGGCAGGGTGGGGGTGCGGGGCTGGGTCCCCGCTCAGCTGGCCGCCTTGCATCATGAGGTGGGGAGCCAGGTCTCCGGGGCAGCTGCTGGAAGGGTGGATCCGGGCAAACTCCACGAGGTCTTTGTTGTCTCTGGAAGATCATTAGGGTCAGCTCGGCCCCCTCCCTTCCCAGCCAACCCCAACCCTTCAACAGACTGTCGGCCTGCAAGAGGAAATGGAGGCGAAGGCTCCCAGGAAACCCTGGGCTCTGAGCCTCCATCCGCAGCAGTTGCTGCCGGCAGAGCCCCGTGGGAGGGCTGGACCGCTGTGTATGCCCCACGGTGACAGCCCAGCCCCTGGTGCCCCACGAGGGCAGCTGCCCCGAGAGGTCACAGCCACCGAGGGCCTCCACGGGCTCTTACTGTATCAGCAGCTCCCGGCCAGGCAGCCCCAGGTGCTCGTCACACACCCGTGTCCTGTCCTCCTCACCCTCCAGGTCCAGGGCATGCGGGGCTCGAGGTCCTCCCGCAGCTGCACAAAGCAAAGACAGTGGAAAAGCCTGGCTGTGACATCTAGAGAGCCACTGCCTGAAGCAAACCTTAGGCTGGGGCTGAGGCACGAAGGCAGGGTCCCCTGGCCCTGGGGCAGAAGTGGGGAGGGAAATCAGAGGCAGGGCAGGCGTGCTTTCCCGACCACAGACGTCTCACCTTTGAAGGCGGGAGCGGCCCTGCCCTGCCGCCCACTGTTGGTACTGTAGGCCGCGTCGGGTCGGCTCACTGTGTCCTTCTGCCGGGCCAATGCCACTGCGATGCCCACAGGCGGCTGCCGCACCTCTCCGTCTCCGTGTGGGGCCTCGTGCTCCCGGCTGCGGGCGCAGTCGGGCCTCTCCACTGGGCCTGGGCCCTTCGAGGCAGGAAACTTGGCTTCCTGCTGGACACAGCTGGCTTTGAGGCCACCCAGGCCCACAAATGGAGCCTTCTGGCCCACAACCAGGGCTTGGTTGCTGTACTTGAGCAGGTTCTTCATGGCTGAGACCTCGTCTGGCGGAGTCGGCAGCTCCTGCGTGAGGAGAGCTGCCTGCTGTAGGCCGCTTCCAAAGGGGTCGAGGTAGGCACTGCCCTTCCGTTCCTCACCGATGGCCATGGAGGCGCCGTGGCCTGTCTGAACACCCCATGGCGACATATGGGGCCCGCTATAACCCAGAGACGCCAGTTCCACAGACTTGCGTTTAGTCTCAACCCCACCACCTCCTGCCTCTACCTCAGGCGCCACCAAGTGCTGCTGGTGGCGGATCCGGGCCACCTTCTGGGCCCCTGGAGGGCCAGCAGGGGCCTCTTTGCTGGCAGCTTTGTCTAAAGTGCAGCAGGCCTGGGTGGCCTTCCCACCAAGTGGGTCTTGGTGATTGGGCCCGGCACAGTCCTGTGCATGAGTGGGCAACTCGAAGTAGCCGCTTCTGTCCAGACCACCTTTAGGAAGTCCAGGGAAGGGGGCGTCGGGGCCTGCACTAAGATACTCTAGACCCTTCAGCCGGGGGTGGAGGGCTGCCTCAAAGCCCCCAGGTCGCCGGTCGCCCTTGCCCTCGGCCTTTAGGTGGGCATAGGAGACTCCATAGGGTGCACCATGGTCAGGGGCCACAGCCCCGTCCAGATGCCGGTCCTTGCCATCACCTGCCACAGCACAGGCCTCCGCTACTTGGAAAGGGCGGCTCTTGTCGGCCAGATGTCCCACAGAAGGCACAAAGGTGGGCCCGCTGGCCTTTAGGTCCCGGGAGACTTTGTCCTGCAGGGGACAGAGCCCATCTGGACCTGCATGCAGCTGCAGACAGGGGAAGGAGGCTGCAGGGCCTGTGTTGAGGGGCGGGGGCGGCCCGGTGGGCAGGCCAGAGGGTACCGTGTAGGACACAGAGTGGTGCAGCATCTGCCGGCGCTCCAGGCACTCGCTGAAGGCTGGCCCAGGCTCCACGGGGCCTGCCACCTCCTTGGCGCAGCGTCCAGGTGCTGCTACGTTTGTGCTGGGCCGGCCCAGCATGCTCCCTGCACAGCTGGCCAGCGAGGCTTTGCCCACGTCGCCGTTGAGGACCTTGGTGTTAAGCAGGCAGGAGGTGAGGTGTTTGGGGCGGCCCTCACAGGACCCCCGGGGGGCAGGGCCTGCCTCCTTGCAAGGCCCATCAGCGGGCATGGGTGGCACCAGCTTTTGTCTGTCTTTGCTGCCGTCTTCCTCTGGGGCTGGCCGCTCCCTGCCTTCTGCTACCTTGCTGGTTTTCTCTTTGCCCAGCTCTTTACCCATGAGGAAACGGTCAAACTCCTTAGGACCCTTCTGCAGGGAGGCGGCCTCTACGCGGTCCCGGCTACAGGAGCCGATGGGATGGGCAGGGGTGGCTCTCGGCACTCCAGGAAAGTTGTGGTTGGCAGGGAGGATGGCAGGCTGTGGGGGCAGGTTGCGCAGGTAGAAGTTATCTGTGAGCCAAAAGGGATAAGGTCAGGGAGTGCAGGGGCCATGAGGAGCCTCAGCTAGCATCTCTGACCCAGGGTTTTTGTTTGGGGGGCGCTGGAGAGAGGATCCAGGTTTGGTTCCCAGCACCCACATGGGGACTCACAGCCATGCATGACTCCAGCTTCAGGAGAACTAACACTTTCTTCTGACCTTTGCGGGCCCCAAGCACACACCTGGTGCACATATGGGGACAAAGGGAAAACATTCATGCATGTAACACGAAATTGTGATCTAAAGCACATTCTGAAAACCATAGGCACACATATGTAAAGCAGCCATCTTCAGGCGCTCGGTTAGGGGCGTTAACACGTTAACGGTGTGGTCTGAACATCACCGCCACAGCCGGAACTCTCCTGGCATTCCAAACCGAAGTTTCCCTTTCTAAAGGCTGGCCACCCTCTTCCCTCCTGTGTTTCAGTCCTAGGAGCCTGGTGAGGCAGAGCCCCGGCGGGGTGCCTCGCCAGCCAGCTCAGTCTCAGGGACTGTCAGAGGAAAGGGGCACAGACTGCTTTACAAAGCGCTAGCAATGTGCAGCCCAGAACAAGAGCTCCTGTTAGCCAAGAGCCTCGCCTCGGAGGGGGCAGCGATGCCTGTAGCTTCTACCCCTCTCTCCATGCCTCGTGCTGGGACTGCCAGGGGGTCTGAAGACAGGATGGTGTGGGAGATCCACCTGAGGAGCCCACCAGACTGCGACATCTTAGCCAACTGTCTCCGGCTAACAGGACTGGGACAGAGGGGAAGGGAAACCGGTCTCTGCAAGACACAGCTGTCCCTGCTCCCAGGGTCACCTGCCTGGGGACTCCCGGGACTCCCAGTCCTGAGGACTCCCGCTGTGGTCTGGGGACTGGCTGTCCAGCTGAGGCCCTGTCCGGGGCAAGCCCTCTCTGACCAGGTAGGGTCAGCTCCAGGCTGTCAGCAGTCAGCCTGGGGACACCTACTCTGCCAGCCAAGCTGGAGCCCATCAAAGCTCAGCAAACCCTGGGGGCCACCCTGCCTCCCCCTGGTTGGGTGGGTGGGCAGCAGGCAAGGCCCTGGCTAAGGGCGCATACCAGGCAGGGAAACAAAAGAAAACGTTTGCAACTTGTAAAACCGTCCTCGGTCATGTAAATTCTGTGTCAATTTCCTCTAATTAGAAACAAGGGGAAAGGGGAGCAGGAAGGGGGGAGCCCAGGAGAAACCCAATTAGCTTAATTTCCCAAACCAAATAATGTTCTTGGACAAAGCTCCACCACAGTATTATGAAAGCTGAGAGGCCTGGCCAGCAGCCGCCAAGACACCAGTCAGCCCAGAGGGAGTCCCCGGGCCCAGGTTCACCAGTCTGTTCTCCAGGGCTCAGACTAACCACCTGTCTACCCTTGACAGATGCTGTCAAAACAGCTGCAGGCACAGGACTGATGGAGGGGAGGCTGTGTGACAAGGGCTTGGGGACCCTGCCCCCAAGCGCTCAAGTCTGCTTCCTGGGAGCATGTGGCAGGGCTGTCTAGGATGACACCAGGCCCCTGGGTGGGGCTGGGTGGACTTCCTGGTCACACCCAAGCAGGGCAGGCTGAGCCAATCACGGCTAGCCCACTTAGAGCAAGGCCAAAGATATCCTGAGCTTCCACGGCTCTAAGACTCTTCTGTGCCCAAATGTGCAGAACCATTCCAAGGGTCCAGACACGACAGACACCCTAAGGTCCTCAGCTCACCCTCCTGGTCCAGGAGATCCACACAAAGGCACTCTGCCCCTCTGCCCCAACTGGGGCTCCCTAGGGATTTGTTGAAACTAGTGTCACCCACTCTCCACCTGCTGCACACTAGGGCCTTGTCACATGGGGATCACCTCCCAGAAGGCCCCGAGCCACCCTGCTAAGCTGGTTTTGCCTCTTCAGACTGGTGGTCTTTCTTACAGCCTGGACTGAAAACCAGAGTCATGAGGAAGACATAACTCTGCCCTGCTATATATTCCTTGACATCACTAACTCTGGCCTGAAGGGACTTGTTTGGGTTACCTGAATCTGAACCGTGGTCCTGGCCTCTAGTCACACCACAGGAGAACTTCCCAAAACGCAAACAGACCCTCAAACACAAAACCCCTCTGGCTAGCGACAGGGGCTGAGCTCTCTGGCCTTTCCTGAGGCCACCTCCAGGCAGACCTCCTGCTGGTTTTGCAATGCCTGCATGAGGAACTGTCTAATGGGATAGGGCAGGGGTAGGGGCAGGGGCTGAGAGGAAGTCAGGAATGCAGCTTCTGTACCCACCTCCAAGAATACTTCCTGCCCCAGCCTCGGTCCCGAGGGCAAATAATGAGAACTTGTGGGTCAGCTCGGCTGTGTCAGCGAACCCTCAAACTGAGCACCTGCATGCAGCTCACAGTGGGCTTGGACATCCTCCTCGGGGCCCCTCCTTGCCTGGGACGAGGGCTCACTTACCCTGCTGGTACCCCTTAAGCTTACCCTCAGGATGCACTACACCCCACACCAAGCCCCACAGCACTTGCCTTTTTGGGTTCCATAGAAACGATGTTGCCCATAGAGAACATTGCTGTTTCCATGGTGATCCAAGTGGCTCACGGGTAGAAAGGTAGATGCCAGACTCCCCGAAAATCTGGGGTACGCAGGAGCTAGGGAAGCAAAGCACTGCTGTGGAGACAACTCCCTGGCCCTCACCACCCGGCCCCAAGGAGGCGAGAGGCACACAGCCCAGGAGCCGCACCCTGAAGAGTGCGCACAGCACACCGGTGGGAAATCAACCCATCAATACATCAGATTAAGTCTGACTGGACGAACACTGTCCCCCCGGAGCAGCGCAAATTGAATTGCTGATGGGCACGGGGCTGGAGAGGGGAGCTGCCCTGGAGCCCTTCCCAGCAGCGCCTGTGTGGCAGGAGCTTCCAGGCCAGGCAACAGCAGACTCAGAGAGGCAGCCTGAAAGGAGGGTGTGATATGGACACTCCATGGCTTCTCAGCCAGGGGGGCCACACCAGACAGGGCCTACAGCCTGAGCCCTCACAGGCACCCAGGGAAGCACACTTAGCAGGCTTGGGCTGCTCCACAGCGGGTCTGGGTGACTCACACCCTAGCTCCATGAAGCTAGGTTATGTGGCCAGTTCCCACTCGCTGGACGCCGCAGGTCTCTCCCCACAACTGTGCTCTCCTCAAAAGCCAGGCATCTGCTCCAGTCTGCAAGGCTCCAGGCGTGCCATATTGTGTACAAGACCTGAGCCCCAGCTAAGCCCTGGCAGGATGAAGCATGACCCTCTTAGACTGTGGTCTGTCCCTCAGGGGCAACCAAAGTTCTGAAGGGCTGTGCCTACATGGCACAGTAATGCTAACCACAGCCTAGAGCCAGTCCACCCTGTTGGCCTTGGGCCAACAGTGGCCCCTGTCACCTGAACAATGTTCCTATTCCCCTGCCCCATGAGGTTCCAGCTTGCAAGAAAGGTGACTGAGCCCTGACAGCAAGACTTGGGGACGGGCACAAAAGTTGCAGCACGAGATGGTGCAGTGGCTAAGGACACTGGCTCCAGCCGGGTGACGGTGGCGCATGCCTTTAATCTCAGCACTCCAGAAGCAGAGGCAGGCAGATCAAGTCCAGCCTGAGCTACAGTGTGAGTTCCAATGCAGCCAGGGCTACATGGAGACACCCTGCCTTGGAAAACAAAACAAAACAAAACAAAACAAAAGCGAGAACATTGGCTATTCCCTCAGAGAACATGGGTTCAATTCCCGCCCCCACAGAACAGCTCACAATCACCCATGACTCCATTTCCAGGGAACCCGACATCCTCTTCTAATCTCGGGAGTTATCAGCACACATGTGGTGCAGACACACACGCAAATGAAATGTTCCTATATGTAAAATAGAGCCAGCACATCTGAAATCTTTCTAAGAAGGGAAAGAAGCTGTGGCACTCCACAGCCGCCAGTCTACAGCTTCCTGGCTGGTCCCTCCCACCAGGCCTGACAGGAGCGCTGGGCCTGGACCTCTATCGCATCCACCAAGGAGTCTTGGCTGCTGGTCGCTACTGACCTTACCCACTGCTATCACAAGGCAGCTGCTGGATGTGGGAAGGGAACTTTAGTCTCCTCCAGCTCGGCTCACTGGCCCAGGCAGCTGCCTTTCTCTGTTAAGAGGGGTGAGGGATCTTCGAGGAGACTGAGTCAGACTGAAACTATCCCTACAAGGGGCTCATGTACTCAGTGCCACGGTCTTGTCAACTCGGCATGCATCTAACGGGTCTGTGGGGTTGAGCACCCTCAGGCCTGCTGTGAGCGTCAGGCAGAGACCCAGGGTGAGCTGAGAAACTGCAGGATCAACTCAGAGAGGCTGCACCGGGTGGGCAGGCACTCCCCGCTGTACAGACAACTGGTTCAGGCGCAGCCGGACAGGGCCGAGTGGAGCTCTGCATGTTCCGGACACCAGACCCTGCAAGAGCTTCTCCTTGGGACAACTGCTGTCCCCAGAGTTTCCCAACAGTCTCACTTCTCAGGCAGTGCAGTCCTTAGGGTCTTCTCAAGGGATAAGCACAGGGGAGGAGGCTGCCACAGTCCCCAGAAAGGAACCCAGGGCAAGCAGTGCTGCTATTTGGCAAAGGGCGCTTGAGTCACAGGCTCACTGAACCAGGCGGCAGGGGTCTCTCAATGTCACAGCCGAATCACTGACCAGTTTCCTGGCCCAGCGGCCCAGCAGCACTCAGCCCTGCTTTACTTTGATTTCCTAATTCTTTTACCCCAGAAACCCTGGGCTATGGAGATGGGATTCTTGAGGATTTGGAGGGGAAAACCTAAAGAAGCGGACTGGAGCGACAGGACTTCTCTCCAGATGGGCCTGCCCTGTTCCATGCTTCCAAAGGCTGCTCTGCCTGATGCCGAACTGGAGGAGCCGCTGTGGTGGCTTGAGGCCAGACAGCTCCAGGGTGTCCCTGGCAAAGCCCTCAGAACTGGTAAACAGTGCACAGAGTACACACACATTTGGGGCAGAACCCTCAGAACCCAGAACCCTCAGCCTGCATGCCACACCCACTGCCAGGGAGACACACACACACACACACACACACACACACACACACACACACACACACACA